GCACGTCACAGCACGACATTGCAATGTATGAGGCTGGCGGACCACGTGACCCGTAATTTCAACAATAAAATGTCTATGGCTGCAGTGTTCTTGGAGATCGAAAAAGCCTTTGATACCACCTGGCACTCAGGATTGCTATATAAGTTATCAAAATTGGAATTCTCTAACTGTTTGACCAAGCTTATTGGGTCCTTTCTTTCTAAACGTAAATTCAGAGTCTCGGTTGAAGGCGAAATGTCAACGCCAAGGGAAATGCAAGCAGGGGTGCCACAAGGTTCTGTCCTTTCCCCTACTCTTTTCAACTTGTATATAAATGATACCCCCAAACTCATGGTGTTCACCTGGCCCTCTTTGCAGATGGCAGCTGTCTGTATGCAACTGATCGCAAGGAGGGTTTTATTGTTAGAAAACTCCAGCGCGGTCTCAGCTCAATGGAGACCTGGTGTGAGCGCTGGAATATAAAAATTAATGAAGATAAGACTCAGGGGGTCTACTTCTCTCATGGTCGTCGACCGCCTGAGTCTTGTCTTACTCTAAATGGAAGAAATATTCCATTTGTAAGTAGTGCAAAATATCTAGGTGTAATCTTCGATAAGAGAGGGACATGGAGATTGCACATAGAAATGATGGAAAGCCAAAGCCTTCAGAACATTCATTAGAGTACGTTCTCCATTCAAAAGTGAGCGATTGAGCGCTAACATTAAACTGACCCTCCACAAAGCTCTTATTATATCTGTAACGACTTATGCTAGTCCCGCTTTGGAGTTCGCGGCAGACACCCATCTAGTGAAATTGCAGCACCTGCAAACAAGATTCTCCGCAACATAGGCAACTTTCCAAGGCGCACACCGGTCCGCGATTTGCACATGGCATTCAAATAAGATTACATAACAAAATTATGCAGGCAACAAGCAGAAGTCATACAAAATCATGAAAACAAGAATGTTCCATTATTGATCAAGGCGAAGCCCAACATAGAAAATATAAGAGGCTTAAACTTGGCGGCATTCAGACATACGACCGTTCAAGTGACTAGACTGCCATGGTAGCGAATACTACTAGAAATAGGACATAACCTGCTGTACTGAGCCTAGACTGACAAGAGGCCTTGTATATAATATACATACTAGATATTAAGATTCAATTTTAAATAAGTGTACATGGTGACAATGGACTAATACTGTCGACTATAACTGACAAATGACAGACCCAACCTCTCGTCAGAGAGGGTGCCCCACATGGACAGGACTGTAACTTTCACTTAAAAAGTAACATCTGGTCATGAGTCCCAGCCGGAGCTCGACACCAAGACAGACAGACAGACTGACTGACCGTCAATCGCAACATGACTCTTCTTTGCTTGCTTGCTCGCAATCTTCAGTGAACATCCCACATATATTCTGTATTCTGCTATTCTGTAAATTCAGTTTATACGATTTAATATATACAATTGTTACAGTTGCACGTGGTTGTCATTTAGAACATCGACAGTCCCACATATCCATACAGGTAACAAACCTAGGATGCAGAAATGGTACCTTTGAAAATAGATATATCAAGATACATATACAAAATTACATGAGTCACATAATCAAAATCACTTACATTAATCGATTAACATAAATAATAATATAAAGTAAAAGATTTAATAAGCTAATTTAAAAATAAGTCACTATAAAACTTGAATTAATACAATTTTATTTAAATTCCCCTATATTAACTGAATTAAATACGTTACAAATTTACACACTTATGACCAATTATGTTGATAATATTCATTCATGGAATAAAAAGAATGATGATATAAAAGCCTCTTCAATGCAGATTTAAATCTTCTCACATCAGTAACCAACATTTTTATTGTTGAAGATGATTAAAAACTTTAATACCTGATATGTATGCACCTCTATTATTATAGATACGAGTGTAAGTGTCCAATAAATCCGATTACCAGTCCAAACCCTGCCTATAGTCACACTCATACACATGACAATATTCTATGTATACCTGGTCTTTTTAATAATTTTTTAGATTTTCATTGGCAGATATGTCACACATGTCATGTCAGAGACAGTCACTATGACAGCACAATTTTTAAATCCAAACTTTCAACAAGTAATATATGCTAAAATGGAAAGATCTGAGGTGGGAAGAACAGTAACACGTTCAGTGTAGAGCTCTGAAAATTTCACACAATTCATACATTAAAAATATATGACATTTTTAGGCCTTTTTGTAAAACCATAATGCATTCGCAATCACTAAAAATAGTATGCTATACAGAGAGGTGATTGATCTGGCTCAGGACAGAGACCAGTGGGCTCTTGTGAACATAGTCATGAACCTTTGGGTTCCAAAAAATGCTGGGAAATTCTTGAATAGCTGCAGACTTGGCTTCTCCTCAAGAAGAACTCAGCTCCATAAGTAAGTAAGTAATACAGAGAGTTATTTTGCATGGTTTTCATTAAATTTAAGGTTTTCTGGTTCTTGGATTACTGAAACATTACAATATTGCTTTATGCAAACTGTTTTTACCTCGATGTTGGTGCCCAGTGCAGATAATGAGTATGTAATCATGCTTTTAAATTAACAGTGATGTTTTTATATATATACCTATAATGTGCATTAAGAGCTTTGAGACATTACATAACTCATGTTCATGTTGTTATTTTATTCAAACCTAGCATTACTTTTGTCCCTGAAATAACTTAATTTTCAGGGTCACAATATCATGAGACAACCAGGAATGGCAAGTAAGTAGAATCTGGAAGGAACTGTGGTGACCTATTTCAAAGTACTACCAGACATCCAGCTGGTGAGACTGATGGAAACCAAGTATAACCCAGTCAGAACAGCCATTAAATCTGTTGAGATTTAAATCAAGTACCTTCAGAGTCAAGTATAGCATATTATCACTGTACAAATCTGCTCAGCGGAACACCAAGAGAAATTAAGTTATAACTCTCACAGTGTAATATATATCACAGTGTTGATTAGTGCTTTCTCGATTGCCTGTGCTATACAGTGCCAATCATTTTTGTTTATCTTTGCGCACATTCATTGGGGCTATGTTAAATATTATAAAATGGCTGCTTTTAACACAAATGAGGGAGCCTGAAGCTATGTGGCCATAATTCTGTGAGTGTTCCATGCTTCCCGCTTTACACTAGCATGAATTTCTAAAGTCATGTTTTGTATAATGAGAGTTTTCTGGTTTCAGATGAGATTGTTCAGAGCACAGGGAACCAAGAAGTGGTCGTGATGAAGTTAGATTTAAGTTCTCTCAAATCAGTCCGTGACTTTGCTGATGACATCAATAACACAGTGACTAAACTCGATGTCCTAGTGCACAATGCAGGGACAGCACACATGTTTGGGTCCAAGACCACCGAAGATGGGTTAGAAATGACAATGGCAACTAATCACTTCGGCCCATTCCTCTTGACACACCTTCTTATTGGTAAGTGAAATAATTCCATTGAACACTCAATTATATTTTACAAATATTATTCATATTTTGGGATACGCAATTGTTTATATTTGTTGGAAAGAAAAATTCTGTAGTTTATAAATTATTATAATATTATCAATTACTTGCAGTGACTACATATATTTTAAGAAGGTACCAAATATACAGAAATAACATGTTTAATATTATGTTGTATTTTAGCGTCCTGTTGCACTGATTCATATTCGTCCAATGATACAACACACGCATCCACAAGAGTAGAACACATCATAAGACATATATATATATATATTGTAACGTGTTTTCCGTTACTGATCCCACTTCTGACACCAATGTAACGTGTTTCCGGTTACTGAAGACGCCGTAGAGATGGTTAATTGGTTTATTTAACAATCTACAACTAACGGCTACAATTAATTATCACACAGTTGCGGGGTTTCACACTTTATAACCCTAATCGCATTAATCTGTCGACACTGTTGCGGGGTTTCACGACTTATAACCCTATGCGCAAATCAGTTCACTCTGTCTTCAGTAGTC